TAGGCCAAATTTACATCAAACCTATTAAGTTACGAAAGGAAGACCGTAAGAATAATAACTGCCGGCTTAAGAAGGATCTAAGCCTAATGGCAATGCAGATTCTGCAAAGAAGAGGAAGAATTCTTATCGAGAATCCGTTTTCATCTGGGGGACGTAACCAAAAAGGAGGCAACGAGCAAAATCGAGGAAGTGGTGGAGTCTAATCAAAGAGGTGAACTTAGACAAGCTCTATATGGAGGCGGTCTCATAGTAGATCCCGTGACCGACGTACTTGCAATGCGAGTCTTGTCGCCAAGTCCTGTAAAACTAAAAAACAACGAAAACCTTCTACAGATATATAACTGTTTGTGGGCAATAAAAAGTCAATAGAAATACTTGTTGTTTCTGTTGTTAAACCCGTAAATGCTTTGTTTGCATTTACAGGGTGTTTCAAAAACCATGGCAATGCCCGGAAATGCTTTTCAAGATATTGCGTGCCATATATAAAAAATTTATTGCTAAAGATTCAATATACAACAAAATAAAAATCTTGAAAATTTACAAAAAGGATTTTTATGAATATTTACTTTTCGGACCCTTTGATAGCAATAAACTCAATTTAAAAAAAAAAATACTACCGTTAGAGCATGTTTTTGGAAACACCCTGCACACACGCATTTTTCGGAAATTATCCTGGAGAAAATAAAAATTGTATCGGTAACAAAATTGATCGGAAGATTTCCGGAAAATCTGACGACTAACGTTATAGTACGTTTTTTCCTGTTCGCAATTTATGTTTCTTAATTTTCTTTAATTTTTGCTAATCAAACTTTTGAATTAAAGCAAATATTATAACTTATTATTAAAGCCTAAAGGCTTTGAAAATGGTGACGATTGTGGATTTTGGAAAATACCTACGGGGAGTACGACGAAGCGATTGTGAAAATATCGAGAAACCCCACTCTTCACCGATATAGTATTCAGTTATCTAAGCTTAGGTGAATTAGTTTGTGCAAACAAAATATGACGATAAAAGGCTTCGTTATTATTGTTATTATATATGCGAGAGGCACGACTCGTTTCGAAAAAAAAAAAGAGTAAATGACCACGTGACACGTTTGCGATAACCTCACTTTTATCAGACGCGCCCGAAAGTGGAACGGCGAGCGCGCGTATAGTGTGTCTCAAACTATATCGCCTTAGCTTAGCTTGAAGGACCCTCCCCCAAAAAGTAGTTACGACTATTGTCAATGGGTAAAGCCAACAAAAAACTGAAAATTTAACAGTCTGGAAGGTAATGAACAAGCGATAATAAGAATAAAAATATATTAACCTTATCAATCCCGAAAAGGAAGCTAAATGAAGATATATAATTATTAGCCGGGGGGCAAATCATCCCCAGATTTCACAAAGATTTCACCGATTTTGAAAAATACCTTTTAGGTTATGTGGAAAATGTGTGTACTGGCAATGGGAAAATTTCAAAACGGACGTAATAGTATATTATGCAACAAGTGCGGTAAACGGCATTTGAATCACGAGTTTATTTATAAACGAATTAATTAAAACGTTTACCGAACGTGTCGCATACTATACTTTTTAGTTTTTGGGTACATTTTCGCCAAAACAACACGAACACATTCACTGACGTGACAGTCAGAACTGGCAAACGTCAAAATTGAAGGCGTGGGAAATATCTCCGAAAACATCCGATTGCTCCCGAACCCGTGCGGTAAAATCCCGGAAATGTCCGAAATGGCTCGGATCCGTGGCAAACGAAACTGACGTAGTGAAGCGACGCTTCCCGCACGCTAGATCGGTGTGTAATTAGGCATTTTACAGACGGGAGTAGAACAACATATTTTCAAACTGTTTTTTTCAAAATCTTGTTTCTTTTTTTTTTCTTTAAGTTCAATTAAGTTTCATTTGATTGTTTAACACATTTTCTGTCGATAAAAAATTACACTTATCCTTATCTTATGCTTTATATATCTTATAATCTTAAAAATGCCAAGTGATTTTGGTAAATTCAAGAAACGAAAGGATGACGATATATAAATTTTCAACCGTGAATCATTAGTTGAGTGAACACTCGAAAAAATACAAACGAAACATATCGAATTCTTATTTAATCATGTATTCGATTTTTTTTTAGATTAATTTGTTTAATACTTAAAGGTGATTTAAGTAATAGGAACTGATCTGACAGCGCTGGTACACCAGATTTCACGCGTGATTTACCATGCCACCCTCCATTAAGTTATTTGTAAAAAAAAACAAGTTTGAGTACAATAAATTTGAAGAAAATGAAGCATTTCACAAATTGAAGATTCTTACATTTGCAAACAAAATAACATGGTCCATTGATCTTAATCACCACTCAGATAATGAAACAAATTTAGGTTTTGAATAAAAACACTTATATATTTGTATACATTTAGCGTCATCGCATTTTCTATTAGTATTAATGTGATTTTATTATACCTAGGTTAAACTTAATATAATATTTAACTTTTATATTTATAAAACACCTTAAAGGCCCGTCAATAATACTCTGTCCTACTGTACCGACTGGTCAGGTGTTTTATTGCCGTCGACACGTGATTTCGATAATTGCCGTCAAAAGCCTAGACGGAATACTTTGAAACAAACTATACGAGGGAAAAAATCAAACCAACGCCAAAACCGGAATACCGGTCCATTTTAATGGACGCGAAATACTTAAAAGACGAGAAGGTGGGGAGGAGGGGGATCTCTTCATTAGCGCTTACACTTCGAGCGGCCGCAAAACGTTCAAAAAAAGTCACATGGTGTCAGCTACGAACAGTGTGCGTCGACGATTGTTTCAATATTTACTCAGTTATTAATAAAATGATAAACGAAATTTTTCAAGAGGTCTAAGATTATCAGCGCTCTGCCTCTTCGCACACACACTCAACATAAATAATAAACGAACGAAAAAAAAACAATCGGTGGGTTGGGGGAAGGGGGGGGGGGGGTGATGCGCCAGCGGCGGCCGCTTAAATATTAATGATATTATATTTATGATATTGTTAGTAATTTATATTAACATATTTTCTTGAATAAACATTCGATTTTAAACCAAATAAAGATTTTTTTACATCAGCTCTGTGAAATACGTGAAATCTGCGGAATGATAACTGTTGACCGTGTTCAATTGACCACATCTTAATTGTAAATAATTGTAAAAGTAAATAAATATAAGACCAAAAGACAAAAATCAATCACTGTACCGTCAAAGACAGTGGAAAGGCTAAAGAGACTGAAGACGCCTGGAAAAAGGAAGATATGAAAAAGAAAAGGCAGAAAAAAACAGAGAATTCCACAGGGGGTGAAGAAGATTTCAAGAAAAATGAAGAAGCTATCACTCCCTTATCAGATTGAAGAAGTAGTTGCTCTCAAAACTTTTAACGAAACATACCAAAATCTTGCCATCAATCAAATCCCATAATTAAAATGAAAGGCGAGCGAATATTTTAACATTTTAATACCGATCTTGTTAGTTGTTGCTCAACGATTTGTATAAATGTATAATAATAATAATCAATGAAAACAGTGGCCAAAATTAACAAAAAATAATCTACTAGCTTACGAGGTTAATATGTTTTATATGATCCTCAAGAAAATTTGCCCCAGAGTAGCCCCAAGGTCAACATTGGCAGATAATTTTTGTATTTTTTTTAAATAGCTTTCGATTTATCTTTTTAACATTATTCTGCATTTTAGTAACGTTTACGGTCTAAACAATGCCCCCAAAAATAATTTTGAAGTTAGCACAGTAGATTGATCATTTACAGACGAAAAAGAAAAAGTATCAAACTTGCAGAAATCGTTTTCTATTATTCCGGCTGACACTATGGGTTGCGTCTAACGTTTTTTTTTTATTTTAATTTTTTTTTCATTTTAATTTTAACAGCATCACTGTTACCCCGAATATTTCAAAGTCGTATAGAATCGAGAATTAAACAAACATTGTTGGCTAGATGTTATTTTTGGATTTTTTGCTCCACGGAACAGCCGGTTTTCATTTGAAAAATTATTTCAGGGGTTATTTTTGATTTATTCTTCTGCCTATATTAATAATTATTCAAATTTCTACCAACATAAAAAAAACTAAAATATGTATAATGTTTAGGGCTATTTTAAAAATGTAATAATATGATAATCTAATAAACCCACTAACAACGATTTTAAATGTATTTTATATACTTCTTTTTCGGGTAGTTTATTTTTTTTTTTAATTTAAAAAAAAATCTGCATAAATAATCGAAATTCTTCGAGAAATCTTGACGCAATCGGTTTTTTTTTATTATTTTCTTATTTTAATAGTTTTTTAATTACCCTAACCTAAAATTAGGTGAAATTCGTAGAACAATATAATTGGAAATTTGGAGCAATGAAAGACATATTTGGGGCATGCGAAATTTTTGATCGTTCTTTCAACTTTGAAGCGTTTGTTGACGGGCCTCGTTTGCCCAAGGGCCTGGGTTCGTTACACACGACGGGCCCTTAACGCGTCAACGTCTGTGTTGATGTTTACGTCGAGAGGTCGCCGACCTCGACCGAGATCGCGAAGATTGACCGGCCGACCGACCCGACCGGTCGGCCATCAATTTCCACCCGAAAAACGTTTTTTTTTTTTAAACGGTACCGCCAAAATGTACGGGTTATTGAGAAATCTTCGGGCCGCGTTCGAAGAAGGACAAGTCATTGATGAAACGCGTGGAAACCGGCGTCCTTTCCCCTCACCATCGAATGCGATTAAAACGTATTTTAAAGTTTCCCGGACTCTATTTCGAATATCGACGGTACGCCACTGCCGAACGATTTTTTTTTCGCCGACCCATTCGACCGAGAAAAATAAAATTCGAGGCTCTAACGTTCAACGCACACGCCAAAAAAAATATAGACGCAACCGTGGTTCGTGAATCGGCCGCGAGAGCTCCCGCCGCGCCACCGTCGACCGCGATCGCAAAAATAAACACAAGCACACGACTCACCTTCCAACCTGCCGAACTGTTGCTGTCCCCCTTATCCTTGAAATACGGCACGTTCTGCACCATCCACTCGTAGATCTGCGACAGCGTCAGCCGTTTGTCCGGACTGGTGGTGATCGCCTGGGTAATCAAGTCGGCGTACGACAAGTTGCCCCACGCGTTCCTCCGGCTGGAATTTTTCTTCGCCGGCACCCCCGAAACGGGCACCGGCACGGGACACTTGTTGCCGCCCCCGTTCGCTCCCGCGGTTGCCACGTTGCCGCCGCCGCCGCCGCCGCCACCGGAGCCGTCTTCGGGCGGGTCGACGTAATTCTCGGGTCTCGGCAGCGGCCACGTGTTGGACCTTGCCCTGGGCAACGGTTCCAGGCCGTCGCCTGCGTGCTCGACCAACGGCTCGAGCATGTTCAAGTTCATTTTCGACAGCGGGCTGTACCCCGGATAGGACACGTTCATATATTCCACTTTTGCGAAGCGTACTAACCGAAATCCCTAACGACGCAGTTTTCCACGACGCACCGCAACTTCTCAACACTACGAACGGCGACGGGTCGTCATCGCGTCCTGCTGTCCACGGGAACAAAAATCACCGGTGTCTCGCGGGTATCTCACTCTTAGCCGGCCATGATTTCAACGCGAAATCAAACAGCAACCGAAAAAACGAACCAAAAGCGCTGATGACGCAGTGTGTTTGTAAACTACGCGTGTCGTGTTGGTCTCGGGGCTGCTGACGTTCGATACGAATACCAACGCGTGCACACGGAGAGTGACGAGGCGGCGGATGGGCGATAATCGCGTTGGCGGTGGCAGCCGGAACGCGCAGGCGCGCGTTTTCTTGGCGCCACGAAAACTCGAAGATGCTGGGGAACCGCGAGATCGGCGCGCGGCATTTTCTCTTTATCGCTTGCGTAACCGTCGACACGGCGGCGAATTTTCGTCTCTTCTCGCTCGACGACGCGAATTTTATAGCGGAAACCGCGTGGCGTACACATACGGCCACCCAAACGAGATACAGAAATCCAAACAATCAATTACTGTCAATCGCAGCGCCCTCACGTCGACAACCACAGAAGCGGCCGAGAGGCGTTTGGTCAGTTCGCGGTGGTTTTTTCGAAAGGCGGCGCTGCACCACGCGGTGACGTAATTAGTCCTTCGGACGGTTATAGAAAAACCGCTTTTTAAGGGTTACCGCAAAGACTTTGGCGTGCAATTCTTGAACGCTTGTCGAAAATATATCCAAAAATGTCATTGTCCCGTGGGAACTTGAAATTATTACCGGAAATTGAGTTAATTTCTTGGCCGATGGTGGATTCGCTAAAATATTATTGTCGTGAGGATTCCTTTACGTCCTGTCCTGGCGCCTTTAGTTTCCGATATTTTCCAAAGAGAGTATTCAATATTCGAGTCTTCAAGGGCTTCGTTTCCGATATCGAACTTCTGGTGAATGAAAATGGTTTTTATGTTTCTCGCCGAAATGGTGGGTCGTATGAAATTAGCAAGAGATAACATTTACTATTTATTTATTATATTTAGCACCAAATAATGTTGCTGATTAATAATACTGCCTCTGGGGCACACGAGGGGATCAAATTTTGTTTTTAAAAATACTCAGTCCTTTGAAAACACCCTGTACACTTCTCCCAGGAAAAAAAAAATTCCGAATGAATTTTATTGATATAATTTTTGTATTGCAGATATCCATTCGTGAGCCTGCTTTAAAATTTTTGTTGCACAGTGAATGTAAATTCGAAAATAATTATGTTTTCCGGGAACCATTAACCAAAACCAGAAAGGATGCTTTTAGATAAAACTCGATGAAGTACGAACAATTGTATCCATATGCCTCCTTATTGTTCACCAAATGGCTTAATAGTCAATTCTAAGGGATATAAACGACCTTATTTGAAGAGATATAATAAAATCTCATTAGGCAACCCTTAAATTTATTGAACCTTGTAGGTTATTTTGGGACGGTCAGTATCCGATATTCTAAATAAATTTGTTTAAAGTAGTGAAGAGAGTATTAATTTAAATGGAGGCTGTATATTTCTTAATAATGAACCAAGAAGTGAACATTTAATATACCGGGCGACACAAGAAAGTGGGATCGCTTTATAACTTCTCAACGGTTTGAGATAGCAAATAGGATGGTCTTCTCTTTTTTTTTAACTTTTATTTAATTTTTGAAAATTGTGTCTAGGAGGCTCTGGCCATCATAAATACTATTTACCGGGTCACCTGATCACGGAAAAAGTTGTAAATGAAACTTTTCTTTACTTGTCTAATGGCAAATAGCATTTAATGTAACGAACTATTAATTTTTTAGGATAACCCACTTTGAAACTAGTGAAAACAAGAACCGGTATTTTTTTTGCACCAAAATCTTTCAAATCCATTGAAAAGTCAGTTCACAGGAAGGAAAAACCCGAAAAATTAAATGCTTTTTAATAAAAACAAAATATTACTTAGGTGGCTTTGCATCTATTCATCATCAAGTCGGCATGATTGAAAATTCTGACAGTTTGTACATTTTTATCGATTTGGATTATCGTGGAAAACAATAATCAATTTACAAGTTGTTCTGATATACGGGGAACGCAGAAAAAACTCTCGACAGGCCCGTGCATCATTATCATTTACAATTTTTCCCATGATCAGGTGATCCGGTAAATAATATTTATGATGGTCACACAATTTTCAAAAATTAAAAAAAACTCTGTATCAAAACAGACCAGAATTAAAAAGAGAAGAAAACGAAATCACACATAACGATGATGTAGAACAATGCTGGGAAAAAATAACAAGCACCATAATAACAATTTCAAGAGAAGCGCTTGGAACAAGAAATATAAATATAAATAACAAAAAAGTCAACAAACCCTGGTTTACAGAAGAGGTAAAAGTCATATGCAAAGAAAACAGAGACGCATACTTAAAATATGGAAGCAACAAAACACCAGAAGAACAGGAAAACTATATAGCAGCAAGAAACGGGGTGAATGCAGGGATAAAAACCATCAAAGAGGAATATTGGGAAATATTCACGAAAGACATCGAGCACGATTTTTATGGAAGTCAGAAAAGAGTGTGGAAACTATTACGATCAACTAAAAGGCCTATAAATGAATACATATTGATTAACTTAATAAAAATAGAAGAATGCACAGAATACTTCAAAAATAATAAAATAACAGAAAACCACGTGAAAAACGCAATACGAGAACTGAAAAAACGAAAAGCACCAGGAGAAAACCCGATAACAAACAAACAAATTAAATATGGAGGACGAAAACTAATAAAGGAAATAACGAAAATTTTCAATAAAACAATTAAAGAAGAAAAGACACCTCTAGAGAACTCAATTACAACTGCTCCACTAAAATAAAAGCTGAGGGAAAGGTACCTGAAGAAATAAAGATAAAGACAGGAATAAGAGAAGGAGACAGCTTAAGTCCGTTTCTATTTAACCTGATTATGGGCAAAACGATGAAAAAGTAAAAAGAGCCTCGGGCGTTCCTAAGGATCGGGTTCCAGGGAACGTCCGAGCAGTACCGATCGATATCCCGAGACTAACCGAAGCGGAACAAGCCCCGCCCACCACCAATCGGCATAAATACAACCTGCGCAGGAGAAATCGTCAGTCTACGTCCAACATAGGAGACGGAAGGGCCTCTGAAGAAGCTCGCCACTCGTGCTAGCGAAACGTTAGGAAGTAATTCCAACCGACGACGGCCTTTAAACCCGAATTAAGATAATAGCTCATCAACGGGCCGCGAAAGCCTTAACCAATTTATCAGTATCTAAGGAACCATTTAGGTGTAAGCGGGAGATAGAAGGGACAATCATAAAGCAAGTAATGTCATCAAGATACTTAGCAGTTGATGAACAAGCCACCGAAATCATTACCAAGAGGCGATTTACCAAGTAAGGAAAGCAGCAGCCACAGCAGGTGCATTAAGGGAGAAATAAACATCTAGGAATAGAGAAGAGAAAGAATCTATAAAACATGTACTTACGTATGAGATAGAAACCAGAGCCAATACAAAGAAAACAAAACAAGCGCTGAAATGAAAACATTAAGATGCATAATAGGGAAAACTAGACAAGTAAGAAATGAAGATATCCGGCAACGATGTAGTATTCCAGGCGGGGATGGGCACGAGAGAGAATTGGAATCAACACGCTGGTCATCAGAATAAAAAATAAATAAGATATAAAAAAAGATTTAAAAAAAAGAAATAAAAAAAAAACAAGTAAAAAAGAGAAAACCATCCTATTATTCGTAGAATGATCTCTTGAATACAAAAATGCAAAAAAAAGGCTGCGCCACTTAAAATCGAAAGTTTCTGTCGTTTTGGGCTCAGACCGGAACTACATATTGTCAAAAAATTATTTATATTATTTATTATCCAATATGAGTGCAACTATAGAGTAATTTTATGCAGGTAGCATGGAACCCGCCATTCAGCGATTTTTTTAATTGAATTTCTATAAGTAAGGGTTCGTCTTCCTCATTTTAGCAGTTAACGTAGTACTATATATCAGTGGTCGGAGGTCGATAAATCCCGCAGCCAAACATTTCTTTAATTGGCCCTTTTACGGCTCCGGGGCACGGAAACGATCCGGAAACAGGCAAATTAAGAGTCGCGAGTCAAGTGGCGCTTCACACGGTGTGTTAAAACCCCGCTCAACGCCCCAGCCGGATCCTATTTAAGGACCCCGGCGAACCGGACTCGAACGATCTCGTTTTGCCGCCCCAGTGGCGCCGACGTTGCTCCACTACAATCTCCCCGCCTCGAGCGACGCTGCGCTTTCTCGTTTTGGCTCTAGAACGGGTGTTACTGCCGTGACGTCACCCGGCCCTCTTCACAACAAGGCTTCAAGGGAGTATTCAATCCAGAATTCAGATTTTTAAAAAGCTTCTCGAGGACGTGAATTATTATTATTATTATTAAAGAATGTAATATTCAAATACAACATAGTTTTCTCCTAGGGCCCAAAAATACGGCACATACATATCTTTATAGCATCCAAGTATTATTCCCACGTTTCACTTCATAATTACATATATATAGAGGTTATGAAGCAACAATGAGAACAATGTTGAGAAGGTCCAGGTCAACATGCGCATGCGCGACTAACCAAAATGGCCGCCTACAGGTTGGATTGCGTCATTTTTAGAGCAGTATTTTCTCATAAAATGTCTAGACCCCGCTAAATGTTCTGGGAAAACGAACTAAGTGTGCATTGGTCTAAAATTAGCGGGTTAATTGTAGGAGGGATCCTAACGTTTCCGATGTGCAGTGAAGAGAGCACAACTACTATTGAATTTTCTTGACTGGTAAAAGTCACATGACAGAAGATTCTCGTTTCTTTTTAAACTGTTAGGAAATTTTTTGGAAGTGAGAACCAACCATCCTTAATAATAGTAACGTAAGTTTATTTTAAACCTAATTAATAAAAAAGTAAATCGTTGATGTTTCTAAGTGACTAAAGTCATAACTTATAGAGAAATCGATAACGAAATATTTACAAACGTACCAAAATTTTTTTATTTTGATTAGTTAAATTGTAAAAAAGATTTGATTCATTATAGGGTGGTTTTTTGGGCATTATTTTTCTGAGTGTACAAGGAAATTAAATTCATTGTTTAAAGTTATTGACATTAATCAGTTTCATATTTTTTATGGTAAAACGTGTAAATAAATTGTTATATGCTATTTTTTAAAATGTTAATAACAACTCGTGCACCGTAAATTACAATTTATTTAAAGATACTCCGTAAGATTTTGCTCTGGAAAACCCGTGCACTTTGCCGATAGGTAATTGCTACGTAATTATCTCCCATTTGATCCAATTAGGCCGATTCGGTTAACAGAGCCGCTTGTTTTATGGCGTATCCTGGTAATCACATAATTCACTGTAAAAACGGGAAAAAAGGTCCGGGCTCCCGACGTAGTAGCCCCTTAGTCGGTGATTTATAGGCGGGGGCATTCAATTTAGGGTCCCAATTTATCCCGAGTGGATTTAGACGGAATTCACCTTGTCGAACACGGCGTAGAGATATGCCAGACAGGGGCGTAATTTTCTTGTGTGTGCTAGTGTGTGTTTAATTTTCTATGAAAACACATCATCCCTAACCACACTCTAGATATTAATTAATATACGTTTCATTAGTTTTAAACGAGTTTTTTAAACTTTTACCAAAAGATTTGTCCAATTTTTGGAAGAGCTTTGTCTAAAATGTATGTATATCGTATACAGCCCAAAAGTAAACAATTTCGACACTCTGCCGATATCGAGTAATTAATCTAAAACATAATAACGCAACGGCTCGAAATTGCAAAAGTATCGCAAATTCGTTATCGTAATCCAATCGAGATTATTAGAAATACCCATTCATTTCAACAATAAATAGGCACCTTTTCATGTATAGGCAACCAATATAACTCTCGGCCAATGTTTCCTCTTCCTTAAAGAATACCACCATTGCCTGTAGAACATTAATGTGGCCCGAGTTCCGAATTTTAATATGCGCAACAAAGTAATTTTTTTTCCCGTCGATACCCCGCCATTTTTTTAATTTTTAATTCCTTACCTTTTATTGCTTTCGACTTCAAAAGATTTCCTAATAAAGACGGCGCCCGCGGAGGGGCGTGGGATCTAATAAAAGACGCGACGCAAAAAATAGCGGAAAAAATATCCCCGTGTGGGAAATAAAAAGAAAATGCCCGCTGAAGATGAGAAACCCCCGCCTGTTATTTTTACTGAAATATTTTTGCAAACGGCGTTATAAAATCTGTAAATCATTATTTAAATATAATATACATTTTACAATCAAATGAAGTTTTTTTAATGGTTCTCTAAGCGGAGCCTCTTGGACGTTGGTCGAACTAACACGGGCGTTTCTGTAACAGTCGAGCGTGGTCGGGCAATTGGCCGGCAGATGTCGCGACGCCGTAATTTTAAAACACCTACCGTTGATATGCGAGAGCCGCGACAGGTGCCGCGATCACCAGCGAAACCGAAAATAGGGAATTCGCACACTTCAGGCTGCGCAACAGTTCGTCCTTGGGGGGGAAAGCATCCCGAATTTTTGGGGGCAGTATTTTCTTGTCTCCCCCGAGCTTTGTACGGGATAACCGCCGGTGACGAGGGCTCGAATCGACGGAGAGTGGCAACCTGGAGAAAAAACGGGGTGACTCCTTCGGGGTGTATTGCGAATCGGCACTGACCCCGGACAAAGGACCCGGCGGGACGCGTTCGTAAAGAGTAAGTTGTCTCCGCAGTTTATTAACCTAAATTTTGCGAACGGGGCTTGCTTGGTTAGTTCTATTTGTTTGTGGAGATTGAATTGCACGTTTTCCTTAAAATAATAAAATTTCACTGATTCTCGACCACTCAGTGTTTCAATAACAGATCTTGACCTTCAATTTTATGTATCTTTTTTTTATAGGTTTAGCTTTATATATCAGTAAGTAGGTTTTTCAGTACCAAATGCTTGCAAGAACATGTATTTAAATAGAAAATGGTGCTTTTTATTATTAAATTATATCAGTACGTATTGGTTGTCGGCATTTTTCCTTTTGGTGAAATAATTATCACCTTTATTTTACATTAGTTAAAAAGAAATCCAACAGCTTATAAATTATTTAATATATTGTGTATATTCTTTGCTATACATTTTTATTTTAATTTTCTTTACCTGTATATTCTGTTTCGGTTCCGTTTCCTCAATTAAAGTTTACTTTGTGTTTATTTTGCGGAGAATTTTTTTTTTGCATTCACCAGATGCAAGTGCGCGCTCCCCACCAATTTTATATCGCAAGGCATGAAACAATTTGAAGTCTCGGAACTGAAGACCCACGTAGCGCATGCATCATTTTTTTGTACCAAGACTTTTAAGGTAGACGGGTAAACTTTAAATTAACAACTGGAGTTCTAATAGGGGTAGAGTCAAGACTCGTGTGAATGTAGCTTAATAAATAATAAAAAAAATGCAAATTTCCAAAAAAAATTTTCAGTTATGGCATTTTTTTAATATATTGTTTGAATGTTACAAAGTAAATTGAAGAAAATATCCTTTGTACACAGAAATATTTAGCCTAGTGTTTTTTAGCCAAATCCCTGATTCTTTCAATAGTCTTACTCTATGGGTCCAGTTGCTAAAGCGAGAAACTGGCAAATGAAAAGATTCATCCGCAACTGACCAATATCTTTATTTTTTAAATATGTTGCACCAAGAAAACTCTCCAACTTGTCTGTCTAGATAGCAGGTTCATTAAAGAGATAGTGTAGCACTGAATGCCTGCCAGAGAAAACAGTTTTCGTTTCGAGAGATTCATTTTTATTTAAAAATAACTTTCGATTCCGAGCTGAGTATAGTAAATTTGCAGATTAAACGTATTATCCAGGTTTCGGGTGTTTGTTTGGGACCGGGTCTATTTAATTTCGGTATCTGTGGACCCAAAAATTACGCTCTCCAATTTGGGTTAATTCGATTCTATGTAAATTATGCTGACGCCTACTACGCGTCCGACCGACCGGGTGACGTCTAATAAATAGTCTCCAACTGATCGAGACGACGCCCGCCATATCCGAGCTATTGCTGTTTCTCAAACTTAGCTTCGCTCCTCCTTTCACCCTCTTCACAAAGGGTCACTTCGTGAGGCACGTCCCGGCCTGCGCGTAGTCGTCGTAGGCCTAATAAACTCCCGTTTTCACGCAGGGATTTGGTGCGGCGCCTAATTCCAGACGCCAAATTCCTCGACGGTAGACGGCGGCAATGCGAAATTTATACGTTTTAATATCAAAAGAAAATGTTTTACTCGAAACACGAGAGTTTCGACTCGAAATTGCGAGACTGTGCTGAAGATTCTCGCCGAGAAATGCCTCATTTTTATTCAATAGCTAGATTTTTAAGGCATGCGATGAATAACATTTTACTATACAGGCTGTCCCATCATTTGTATACCCGTACTTCGCCGCAGTCGCGCAAAGAGTTTCCCGAAAATTTTTAAAATCAATTAACCAGTTACTCTGCGGATAAAATGCGAGTTAACCAAAATTCGTTTTAATTATTTTTTTAAAATTGTAAATATAACATTAACATTTTTTTGAGGTATCCGTCTCGGATGACTGATTCCCATATTGCTGACAGGTAGAGCCCTGATCTTAGCTTTACTTGTTGTAGCTCCAAGTATTATAAAACAAAATAGTAAAAATATTATATTATTATGACAGACAATCAATAATTATAAAATCAGCTGCTTAGAAGAGGGACAAGAGACGAAAATTATAAACAGTCTATATCGGATCAAAAGCGTTCAATGATTTACCATGAGGTGTAAAATCTGCGGATAGATTAAATTTCTTTGTCAAAGAACTTTGAAATTTAGTTTTTAGATATGTTAGTAATGTATTGTTTTTGTTAAATAAAGATTTATTTAAAAAAAAAAACGAACCTAGCGTAAAAGGTATTATGTTACTGTTGAAGTTTTATATGAAACTCATTTATCAATTGGACATGGTGGACGAGACAGAATGAAAAAGGAACTTAACCTTCGCTTTAAAAATATAACAGCACAAGATATTCAAACATTAAGCCTTAAAAAAAGGGCGAATGAAAAGGAAGGCTTGGCGGTTAAGCCAATGGTGTTTTCTCATTTTAATTCAAGATGTCAAGTAGATTTAATTGACTTCCAACCACAGCCAGATGATAAATTTAATTTTATATTGGTACACCAGGACCACTTAACAAAGTTTGTCATTCTTAGAGCTCTTAAGAATAAGACAGCTAATGAAGTTGCTGATCAACTCCTTCGAATTTTTTTACTATTTGGGGCACCATCTATTTTGCAATCGGACAATGGCCGATAATTTGTTAACCACGTCATTGCTGGTTTGAAAGGTTTATGGCCTGAATTAAAAATTGTTCATGGGAAGCCACGCCACAGCCAGTCTCAAGGCAGTGTGGAGCGTGCGAATCAAGATATTGAGAATATTTTAACCGCATGGATGCAACAAAATCAAACCAGTAATTGGAGTAAAGGTTTATGAAAAATCGAGCCCTTCACGCTGGTATAAAGCGAAGTCCTTACGAGGCAATGTTTGGACAACCCGCCAAGGTGGGTCTTACCTCTTCTTCCTTACCGCACGAGGTATTAAACAATATAAACAGTGAAGATTTGGAGAAAATTCTTGAAAATGTCAACGGTAATAAAGAAAGTGTCCAGGAGATTCCACGACTTGAAACCATTGTGGAAGATGCTCTAGAATCAGATATAATCTTCAGTGAAGATGTCGGGGAATTGCTAGTGGTTCAAGAACAGCGTTGTTCACCGCTTGACACTACCGTGACCCTACGAAAATGTGATGGATGTGATATTTTACTTAATTCGGAATGTAATAAAATGTGCGATATTTGCAGAATCAAAAGAAAACTTACATAAGCAAGCTAAGCGCATGAAATTAATTTCCGATGCTTCCTCCTGTTCCTACTCCGGCGGAGGTAGGAATGACAGTAAGAATTAAGGTACCGGAAGTTGATAGTGGACGGGGAGATTCTCGTGCAATATTGGGATGTTTATTAACTAAATTTTATTGTGAAATTCATCAATTAACGCTTTGACTGCAGTTGGTTAATAACTGCAGTTAATGCATGGGAAGTGAATGTATGCATTGGCTAGTAAATGTATACATTGACTGGAATGTACACTTCGACTGCAACATATATACAGTTTTTGTCCTAGAATCTGGAACCAAACCTTAATTGGAAAATGCTAGCCTGGAACATATTTTTCTTATAAAGATCATCATATTGGACAGCTAGCAGTTTTCCATTATTACCAGTCATCGTGAATATGTTTTTGGAAGCTTTTGAGAAGACAGTTCTAAAACCAATATGATGGAAACGCTAGGTTGATGTTTTGTTATTCGGCCTCATGGTTTTCTTAGCTATTTAATGTCTATACACTCTAACATACGTTTTACTATTGAATTATAAACTTGTAATAATTTGAACATCAGACCTAACAGTGGTCATTTTGTGTACAGAAAAACTATGCACACAGACCAATACCTTAATGCGTTATCACATCACCGTTCGATCTAAAAATCATCGGTTATAAATCCTCTTATTTACAGAGCAGTAAGACGATCTCACTGACGCCAGAATTAAAACACCTTACATCTGATCTTCCCTCTAGCAATTTCGACGTTAGTGATATTAAGCGTTACCAAATACACAAGCTTCCAAAGACAATAAGTCCGAAACCAACTCCACACCGCCACTGTTTTCCTTCTTTACATTTAAGACAGTGCATATCAACAGTTTTTAAGAAATATAACGTCAAAACCAGTTTTACCACCAAGCTATCAAGGAACTGAAAAGAGTCTGCAGTTGCCGAACTCAATCACCAAATCAAATTTTATTCGAAAAAACTAAAATCATGCATGTTTTGTAAATGGTATCACATATGTTTTAACCTTGATCCGAGTAACTGTGCCTTAGATTTTGAAAGTACCAAGTCTCTAACAAGATCATTTAAGTCGCCTTGTTCAAGTAAATGAGGTTCTGTAGATAGACATGAAGATCCAGATAAAGTGTATGAAGATGAAGATGTACTACCAGAAAGAAAACTCGATTGGGATTGTAGACCTGAAATATTTTTATTTTCAGCCTCCTCATTAACTGGTAGAACTGGAGGTGGAGTGTCTTTATCACGAGGAATTGGTCTCTTTGCAGATAGGACGTTCGGATAAACAATCTTATCTCTATTTTTTTTCAAGAATCCTCGTGTAAATGCAATTACGAGTACAAATTTTGATATTTACCGAAGTATGCCGTAAATTTGAAGTTCGACGAGATGTGAAGATCACTTTATATCAAATTACATCGATTTCGCGAAAGTGCCATAGTGGTCCGCAAAGTGTTCTATGACCGTTAAGTTTTGGGTAAATTCTTTTAAAGCAACACAAACACACTGAGAGAAAACATATATGGCATATTTCTGTAATAAACTTAACAAATCATTGGAAACCACATATCCTCTATAAATTCAAGTTTAAAGGAAGTTTAAGAAACACTCTTGATATGCATTCTATATATGCATATGCATACGTAGGTCAATCTTAATCTATGCATTGCATACTTGCAACAAGTTGTTTTTTTTTATATAAGTGTCTTCAAAATAAAGGTTCCGCTAAGAAAGGAACTCTTGCAATATCTCGTCTTTGCTGCTGATCGTTGATGCTACACTGGTCTGCAAAAAACATTTTTTTTTCTCTCCTTCTTGTTTTCATACATGAATTCATCTTATTTTATGCTCCAAACACGGAATCTGATATACAAATAAGTACCACATGTAGGTTTTTAATTTAATATTTATTTATTCAAAAAACAATATTATTAAAGTATAAATTATTATAAGGAAATAAAAAAATGTGGCGACTTGAGTTTTACAGTAAATAGATTCCACTGTTTTAACCTTGATCCGAGTAACTGTGCCTTAGATTTTGAAAGTCCCAAGTCTCTAACAAGATCATTTAAGTCGCCTTGTTCAAGTAAATGAGGTTCTGTAGATAGACATGAAGATCCAGATAAAGTGTATGAAGATGAAGATGTACTACCAGAAAGAAAACTCGATTGGGATTGTAGACCTGAAATATTTTTATTTTCAGCCTCCTCATTAACTGATGGAACTGGAGGTGGAGGAATTGGTCTCTTTGCAGATAGGACGTTCGGATAAACAATCTTATCTCTATTTTTTTTCAAGAATCCTCTTGTAGATGTCATGCAGAAATAACAATCATTCTCATGATTTTGAGGCTCACTCCAAATCATTCGCATTGAAAACGGCATGGATCTGTGACTTTCTTCAAACCAACCTCTCAACGTTCTTGAGCAGCTATTGCAGCATACTTTTGGCAACCAACTTTTATCTCGCTCATCGATTGAAAATCCAAAATATAGCTTATAAGCTGTTTTAACCAGATCGGTCATGACATGTCGCTGTGTTTTTAGTATGTATTCCCCACAAATGTAGCAAAAACAATCTGAGGAATTTTTACAAGTCCGTGGCATTTTTGTAAAATCACATAAAATTAATTTCAAAACAACTTTCAAACTTCTATTTTATATTTATGCAAACCTTACCAAAATATTTTATATAAAAGGTAAACAATTAAACGACAAGTTTTCACTGAACTGTTGCAGTGTCACAATGAATACTGCGCTTCCCTCTTTTCTCTTACAACTCTCTGAAACTCATTTTGTATGTATATTTACTTTTTGTAACGTTGACGAATGAAAAAATTGAAAAAAAAAAACAAAAATTTTGAAATATAAAAAAAAAGCATATCGAAAAATCTAGACGTGATAGAAAAAATCGGCCAACGGGGATAGATTCAGAACGTTTGAATCATTATATTTATCATAAAAATTTTTTAAGGAGAATTTCATTGCCAACCAGTGATATCAGCGAAACCATTTTGAAGAAATTTGGTTTTTGTCTTGCTTTGGTGTACCTAACTGTTTAAATAATTAAAATGTTTTAACCTTTTCAATGCTACAAATTTAATTATTATTAGAAAACTTGTAATCTGATGGGAAATGAATAAGCGTCTCGTTTCAGGTAAGGGCGAACACCGCAACGCCATGGGAAAAGGCGACAAGCATCGAGGGCGCAGCGACAGCGGTGAGTACAAAATGTCACAACCCTTTCCGGGAAGACCGCGAGCGTCATAAACGATTACGGACGTCCAAAATGCATAGAAGAATTAATTTTGCACGGTCCCCCTCCCGGTCTACGCCCGTCGCGACCAAAATCAACAAAATTACGAAATTACGCGTCGGGAAACTTCTTTAATCTTGCGGACTTTTTAATTACCGTTCGGCTTCGATGAATCTTTTATAAGAAGGGCTCTCAGTTTTGAGGAGGGGGATTTTCTGACCGGCGAATCTCGCAGCGACAAGAAATTTTGTTCTTAAATACGCGGATATTAATTAAAATGTCAGTGGAAAAAGATAGGATAGAAGACATGTTATTCCCATCAGCACGCAGACGTTGCTTAGGCTGAAATTAATGCGGCTATTAATAACATAAACAACGATGAACGTATTTTTAGTGATATTTTATACATTTTACAAGAAGCTGCAAACAAAAAGCAAAAATAACTGGCCAAGATAATTTACATATTTATTGAAATCTTAGAATTTAGCAGCCTGTTGCTGGCTATCAAAAATTAGATGTATTTTCTGATAGTAATCTTCACAAAAATGTGTTAAATGCAATGAAGTCTTAAGTGCCTGTCTCAGATTCTCTTATAATGTTCGTAATTTTGATCATATTTCTGTTAGCGTTTAGACGAATGGTTTAAATCACAGCTCCAAGTTTTAACTAAAATAATAATCATTCCATAAAAGCTCAATATGCTATTTGAGAAACTTATTCGAATCTCATCGATTCATTCTGTTAACGAACTCCATTTCCAACTTAGATCAGTCACCACTTTTAAACAAATATTCAGAAAACACATTTTTGACCGAATATCTACGCAAAATAGTGTTATCTTTCAATTTAGAAATTTTCTTCGTTAATTTGCATTAACGCATTTTGCCTAAGCGATAAAAGGCTCTTTATTATTATTACTATTATTATTCCAGTGGCCATATTTGATTTTTTTTCAAAATATAACGACCTAAAAACGTTGTGTTAATGGAGTTTTTTTTCCACGCCCACGTAATGTCAATTTTCACGGTACGTTATTTCCCGTTATCGCTGTAACACACAACACGCGGTCCGCTCCGGATTCTACGGCCCCAAGTTACTTTCGATCTCCTCTAAGTAATGTTTATTATTATTTGTGGTATTTCAAGTGGCGATAGCCGATGAGATTGGCTTCGAAAAATTGCTCCGTCTTTGCGCTAATATAATACAGAGTATAGTTAAGATTTAGCTAAAATAATTTCTTCGCAAATGGAAATACCCAGGCGCATAATTGGTTGCATACTCGACACGCTCGAGTTCTAAGAGGCAATTAATTATAAATGTTACCCTCCTAATTTTTTTAATATACATTTTAGAAAATAAAGTGTATTGCAAAAATAGGGTTTAGTGCAGTGTAAATTTAATATTACATAATTATTTATATACATGGTCGACCATAAAAGAATAATCAAAAATTATATTTTTTATATCGAATGCCGCATACAATATATCCCACTTAAGAACTGTAAGCCCTTGTGAAATCTTTGTTTATTATTTGTGTAGATCTTTGAAAAATTCACTAAACCATATCAATTTCTATAATGTTTCATTACAGGGTGTTTGAAATATCGTTTAATCCTTTTTTAAGGCTCGTTTAGATCTCTCAAAAAAGCACTAAAACCTTGCTTCGTTTTACATCAACCTAAAGTCATGGCCAATTGAGATTAATTTTTGATGTCAAATGTCGAGAATCTTTGAGAATAAAGCACCCTGTATTTTGGTGGAGTTGGGTTCTAAGTACTACTGAATAAAAATTCTTTGCCATTTTTTTTTAAATCCTTAATAGTACTTCTCTCTCTCTCAACAAAAAAAAATCAAAATCGAACCATAAACAAAGATTTTACGAGGGTGTACAGTTCTTATGTGGGACACACTGAAGAGGAAAATCAAAAAAAATCCGGAAATATTTGGTTAGTCTGTCAAACGTTCTGGTCGTCGATCCTTAAATGGTTGGTTTAAAAAATAACCTCGACGATCACGAAGGTATCTTTTTGAAATGATCAGAATCAATGAATTTACAAAAATATTCTTATAATATTCTTCCAGAGATAGCATATTTAACTAATACGTAGCTAACATGGATTGGGTGATATGGCCAATATTGTAGCCCATGTCTTACTCTTGTAAATACTTCTTTGTGGGGGTATTTAAAAAACATAATTTATTGTATCCTTGACATTATAGAATTTATGTTTATGTAATAAATTCGCTGGACCTATTTGCATTTTTGTTTTTTTTTATATAAAACAATATTTCAAATTTTTGGTCATTAAATTATATTTAAAAATATTATTCTTTTATAGATTTTTGAACAATAATAATATTCGCATATATCACACATCACATATTCACAACTGTCGTTATAGGCAACTTGAACAAAATTTTAATTTGAAAAGTATTGATTACAAAAGTAAATGTATACTATTAAAAGAACCACACACAGTTCTATGCAACAAATATAAAGATTTCAAAGTTGTAAAATTTAAATATTCTTTGAAACGCTCTGTCATTGGCTGTGCCCGATTGTGACGTCAATTCGCCAGTAAGATTACGCGGACGGTGGCATAGAGACACCATCAGCGAACGCGTTCGGCTTGGTGATTTTAATTTTAATTTTGGTTTTGATTTTTTTCCCTTGCTTTTATTATCTTGTGTTTAGTATCAAAAAGAAAGTTTTGAAAATGACCGAAGTCCTTTAGTGTTTATGTTGCCATCTTACATAGAAAACGCAGAAAGTTTTTCTTTTGCTGAGGTTCGGGGTGTTAAAGCTAAAAGGTATGTTCATGGACAATTTAGCCACTAGTTTTAAACCAAAATATTGGAATCAGCTTAAAGTTTTCTAATTTTTAAAATTCAAATGGTATATCAAAAAAAAATGTAAATTATTCAACAAAAAAAATGATTTTTTTTAACCAGTGGAAACCTAGATACTGGCTTTAAGGTATATGGGCATTGGTAACTTTAAGTGTTCTTTATTTTATATAGATCAATAAGCCGTTCCTATGATATGATGGGTGCAAGTTCGAAGAGTTAAAAAATATTTGCGCAGTAAAGGCCAGAAGAAGTGTCACAACTTGAATTATTTATAGCAACTTAAATGTTGAGTTTTGAGTTTTGGTATTTGGTACGCGTTATTTCTATACATAAACAAATGGTGATCATGACTAACCAAAAGACGATTTTATTTTTATCTATTTCCGGCCTTAATGTAAAAAATAACATGTTATATATTTTGACATCAGCTCAAAAAAAACTTCCATTTTCTGAAATTATATACAGAACTTCCGAAAAAAAAAGTTTCATCCGCTATTCCTTTTTGCTACACCATATATATAAATGATTACGGTATATTAAACCCCACTAAATCGTAAAACTTTTCTGTTAAACTTTTTTTTCTAAAATATAAAATAAAAAAGTTGTGTTTATAATATAATATTTATAATAGACTGTGCTCGCTTGTGTTATAAATGGTCATTTCTGTTGCTGTAGACGTTGTCAAGGGTCACGGTGTTTCGCGGGAAACAACCTATAGACACCAATTATAAATTTAAAACCACGCAATGAAAGGGAAACCGTTCGAAACCCAAATTAATCCACGGGCAAGGCTAGCGTCAAGCCGAGTTCGATATAAATGTAAAAGAAACTTGTAGTGATGGATCACGGGCCGTGACATTTCGAGTTTGTCGTGTCCCACGGCATTTTGATCCGATGTATTCTCGAAATTTCATTTGCGCCAATCGTTCACAGATAAAAATGATATTTTGACCTAAAACAAACGCCTTTAATAAAAACCTACCCAATGCTGGGTTTTAGCTCATCTAAAGGTAATCATTATTTTCGTCCTAGGATAGCAATGTAGACTAAAAGAATCACGATCTCTTCTGAGTTTAAACTAAAACTGAAAGAATCTTCATCTCGGTACCACGAAACATATCGACATAGTAAGTATTTTTTTACTCGCAGACGCAAGAGTCTACTCCGTAATTCGTTTTTTCTACTTCATTTTGTAAAGTACTTAATTCTACACCGATCTAGCATTTCCAGAATTCGGGAGCAATCGGATGTTTTCGGAGACATTACCCCACGGCTTGAATTTTGACGTTTGTCAATTCTGACAGTCATGTCAGTGAACGTATTCGTGTTGTTTGGCGAAAATATACTCAAAATCTAACGGTAAATATAGGCGTTGCTTAACTACAGGCCACGCCAGTTTGTAACCAAGTCGAAGGGGCCGGACTTAATATTAAGATACGCATAGGGGGCGTTGTTGAACTGCAGGCCACGCCCGCTTACTTAATATAAGTCATTGTTTTAATCGCAGTTCAGCGGCATTTCTACCAAAGCGACTGCTGCGATGCGACTATAACTTTATGATCGTTTAAGTACATCTCAAGTTGCGGAAGGATCCATTGAAAATCCTGTTAATATGTACTTTGTATTTTGAAAAAATTAAGTTTGTTTTGACTTCCAATACGGGATCCAAAGGCAGGTTTATGCAAACATTTTGAGTAATAAAAATTAATACGCACATTTTTGAGAGTGGAGTGTTTTTTCTTGTGACTATCGAATAGTTGGGTTTATCTGTTTCGTTAACTGTTTTAGCCAAAGGCGTAAGAGCGCGTATTTCTAGTGCATTGTCGTTGCGTGGGCCAGTCCATCAATCACAGCTTCCAGTCTTCGGCTCATGGTCATGAAAGGAGTTATGAAGTCTTCTTCAAGCAATAATTCTCCTGAAACTTCCTAAATACCTTGCCACAGAGCCTCGCTGCTTTGAGGCACAACGTTGCTTCCATACAGCCGTTTGGAGTGCGAACAGGACAGTTGTCTTGCTAATTCTCGCTCCTATTTGGAGCTATTTTAGGCTTCCTGTTATTTTCTAACCTATTTGCGACAACGCTGACTATTTTCTTTTATTTGGCAGTGGCAGTATTAGAAATACGAAAGGAATGAAGTTTCCGCGATAACGACATGGTGGCTTAGGATACACTAGACAAAACTTTGAAAAAAAGTGCTCTAAGAGTAGTCCTAAATCTCAGATCAACAAAAAATTAGCTTTAGTGTTAATTAAAAAAAAAGTTTCTGGTTTTTATGAAGCGGTACTTGGTCGGTAATGAAAATGTAAAAAAAAGTCGTAAAAATGTTTTTAAGACGTGTGTTTAAGGTTCGGTTATTTTTAAATAAAAACAGACAGATTTGCGTGTAAATAGGGCAAATAGGGAACTCCACTTACGGCGCTCAACAGTTATGGGGCCGCTATGCATTTTTTATGAGCTTAAACTGTCACAACCGACTGGGTGGGGGTCCGACTAACTTCGGGACGTCACGTTCGCGTCCCAAAGTTCCGGAAAGTTGGCCCTTTGTGGCCGAGTTGGCATTCGATACCAGCGTGCCAGCAAGTTGGAATATCTCGAACTTTTTTTTCCCCGCATGTTTCTCATTCGGTGAGTTACTGAACTATCTCCGCGAAATTGTTATTTAAATTAATTGTCTGAAGAATATTGTTGAATTATGTCGAAAGAGATTCAAGTTAGGACAAAAAGTTAAACTCATTTTTTTATACAGGGTGTGTTCAGCTTTCCATAAAATAAAATGACTTGTTTTCTTACAATTGTAGAGAGATGATGCCCAAGTCAAAACTTAAAAACTCAAAACCGTATAAAGGAAGTTAAGTTATCATATTTAGTCTCATCAAATGAGAGTAAAATACGAGCCAGTTTTAGTCAAGCTCTGAAGAAGCCAACAGGATGATTGGCGAAACGTCAGCAACTTCGACTCAGCAAAAACCGACGCAAGAGGAATCCAGAAGTTTTGTAAAAAGTAATTTATAATACTGTTTAGAGCAAATTATCAAATGCTTTATTGTTTTTCTCTTACGGCTAATAATTTAGCCACGAAAAAATTTTACGCCGTATTATATATATATATATATATATATATATATATATATATATATATATATATATATATATATATATATATATATATATATATATATATATATATATATATATATATATATATATATATATATATATATATATATATATATATATATATATATATATATATATATATATATATAAACTTAAACTTAAACTAAGTGGTATACCAAACCAAAGAATATTAAACACAGGTAGGTATAAAATTATTTTCTCTTACGGACCACCAGTTTACCTGAATTTAAATTCCGAAACTTTAGGTAATAATCTTGTTGCATTGTAGGTTAATGACCACCCTTGGATAATCTCATTCAAAAGCAATTGGTCACTTTCTTATATCTATGAACAGACTATACCTAAAACTGATTTATAAAGATGCTTTCTATTCTTGTTTTAGTGTTTTACTGGCGCATTCACCATTGGTGTTTAGAAGGACGAGAAGTAAAGACGAGACGTGAGCTAGAATATAGAGGAGATGAAACTAATTACAATTATTTGTACCTGTTAAGATTATGTAAATTAATATGGCTGGATAGGTATTTAACTAAAAGCACCTTTCTGATTTGAAGAGTTTAATCTTGGTGTAACGTCCTTATTGTTACTTTGATTTCCGCTGTATCGGTTTTACCTCCCGTTCCCCCAAAAATACAACCAATCGAGCCGAACGAACATTTATTTTATTCAAATACACGTCCGGATAGTACGGCCAAAATACAAAAACGAGACGTACAAAAATATCTACGAGCTAAAAAAAGGAACGGGTGTGCGCCGGACGGTCGATAAGCAAATCCGAGGCGCCCCGAATAGAACGGGCCGTCGATTATTGCTTTCGATCCCGCTAAAAGCCCCGTCGGCAAGGTTCGCTATTTACAGTAATTAATTAACCCTAACAATAAATAAAATTACAAAAATATACAGATCAACAACGCTCTCATTCGAATCCCGCACACACGCTCGCACGCGCTACCCTGTAGGTGTCCACGAGGTGGCTTCATCGCGCCACCTACTGGTTGTTGGCGTAGTAGTTGACAGCGCTCTCTATCGCGGCCTTTGCGAAATCGCTCTCGCACGGGCTGGTCCCCCAAAAGGGACCCGCGCATCCCCTCTGCTCGAAGCAGTTCTCCGGTATTATTCGGGGATCGCTCACTGAACAGCAAGAGATGATCGCCCAGACGCAGTCGCTGGGCCCCGAAGGCACCCTAGAGGGCGCCACGGACCCAGACGCCGACTCCGACTGGGCCCCTTGACGTTTGGGGCCATGTACCAATGGTGGCAGCACCGAGTTCGCTACCGAAGGCCTGGTGGGGACGGTTTCTTCCGAATCTGCAATTGAGGTTATGGTTCTAGACATTTGATACTTTCCCATTTGAATTTTTGAAAGATTTTGACGGATTTTGAGTGATTCGATGCTGTTTCGGTTCCCATTGTCCATTGCAAAAAACGAGGGATATCAAAGGGCAATTAGCTCGAAACAGTCGGATTGATAGAAGAAATAGAACAAAATTAGTTAAAACTCTTTTAAAAGATAAGGTAAGTTTCTGTTTTTAACGCACCCTTTATAGGTTTACAGGGCTCCAGCTTGTAATTAAATTCCAATCAAAAAAAGTCTTGCTTACTAACTGATTACAGATTTTGATGCTACCTAGATCTTTATTAATCATCGGTAAAATGATACCTAATCTGTTATTATGATATCAAAACTTCATTTTCAATAACTACTTCAAAAGTCTTCAAATGCATTTTATAAAGCAAATTATGCAGAACGTATGGGCAAACTTATTGGTGTCAGAAAAGTCTTGTAAAGTTTTTGTAACCATGGAAGACAAAGTAAAATCTCCGTGAGCATTAATTTTATTGTTGTGCAGAATCCAAAAGTATTGTTGATGTTTAATATAATAATATATATGATATATTGAGATTAATTTGCAATTCAACTGCAGAGTTGAGTCATAGTTAAGGATCTCATCTAATGTACAACACTTTCACCTTGCAATCAGTTGTCGATCTCCGTAATATTATTATAGCATTTAATTCAAAAAAATTCGGATGTTGTTGTGCTATGGAAAGCCTTGAAAACGACTGGGTGAGATCATGTTTTCCTGTGCATTGTGGCTATCTTTTATCTTTTGTTCTATTTTATGATTGTTTGGTACATACAAATACTGAATAAATATACGAGGCTGACGTCATAATATACAACTGTCTGAAGCACTGCCTACAAGATGCTATCGTTTTGGTTAGACTAGATAGATGTGCACGGATGACAGATTGACCAAAATAAACTATTTTAAGAATGTTCATAAAAACTGTATTTTTGGTATATAATTTTTTTCATTTTCACTCATTTATATAAGTGAACAAGAGAAATGCAACAATCCCAACTATTACACTGGCGAAAAATCACTAAAAATAACAATATTAGTAGGTAAAAGTTATTTAACTTAAAGTGAAATTTATCTCTAATTTTATTTTTGTTGTTGTAATTCTACCGAAAATTTGCAAAATTCATTTAGTAAAATGGTAATTTTATCGTAGATTATTTATATTTAAAATCACATAATACTGTTACATTGGTCAAAGGAACTCTGTAAAATTTCAATGGAATTTTGTTTTTTACAATACTTTTGTAATTTTTTACATGACAGCCACGGAGGTCCGGGTCCGCCAAACCGGGTCACTAGGGTGCATTTTTAAATATTTACATAATTACAAAGGTAAATTGACTGCATTGGGGTAAAAGTTTATATTTATTTTTAAAAATATGTATTTAATTACATGGCATAAAAATTATCAATATAAAATCTCAAAATACACAAAATTCATATTAAAAAAAAGTATTTCATTTACCCATAGAAATTTGGAACTATTACGTTTAAGAAAAGAAAAATTACAATGAAATCAGTAAAATTCAACAGGTTATTGGTAATTTAAAAAAATATATAGGTAATTTATACAAAATAAATTTTGGAAAATTATATGAAAATAAGTAAAGTTTTGTATTTGTATGTTTTAACTTAAAAATCTGTAAAATCCGGTTACGATTTGCGTAAAATAATACTGAACTCATGTAGATTGGCTTTATTAGTTTTTTTAGTAATTTTTCCCGATATGTTGTAGCCCCAAAATTACCCACGACATATAACAATTTCGTTTTATCAGTGTAGCCTACTTTTTTTATTCTAAAATTTGTCTCTTTTGCGATTACAGTTTAGATCTCTCTCTCCCTCTTCACCTTTCACCGTCCACAGCATGGCTCCCCTTTTATTTTACTTTCTCTCTCCCCACTACTTCTTGTTTCGCAATTTTTCCAACTGTGCGATTCCAGAAAAGACAGCCCTTACCTCCACTCAGCGGCACGACATTTTTCACCCCGTCACCCCACACGGGAGCGTCATCGTCCTCTTCTTCGTTGAACCTGTCGGTTATTTTCATGGTACTGGAGTTCGGGGATGACGTCACGGGAGGCGTCTCGGGGGGCAAATATCCGGGTCCGACGAACGGCGGCTTGACGGGGTTGTCTTGCGGGAACCCCGGGTTCAGGGGCTGCGGGGGGTAAAAAATGGGCCTCCTGTTGGGAGGGCCGTACACCGGGATGTAGTACGGGCGATTGAGTTGATAAACCGCCGGTTTCCAGATCTGGAAATTGGAGTTTGAGGTTAAGTTTTGCCAAGCAAGGACGCTGAGGAGATAAATGCGACAACCTTGCTGGAAACTTAGATTCGATGAAAAATGTTTTTTTTTGTTTTGCCTTTATTTGTTATGTATAACTATACAGTAGAAAAGATGCGAAGTCTAGCAAAAGCTACTCCACTTAACCTCTTAAATGTTTAAATTGAAAACTAAATAGGAGTAAAATAGCTGAGTGTTATCAGCAAATGAATAAATATCAGAAATATAAATTAAGAATAATATAGGTCCAAGGACAGACCCTTGCGGTGCACCTGAAGGAACAGGGAGAAATTCAGAACTTACATTGTCACGGGTTTTCAAATAATTGAATAACTGAATTTGGGGCACATAAGTTTATGGTCAAGCCGATCAAAAGCTTTAGAGTAATCTAAGGTTAATGATTGCGGATTCAAATTAATTTCCGAAGTCCCCTGTATAACATTTACCCAAACGAACTCAAGACGAGGCATTCTTCGGACTTTCTTCCTTCTACGAATTCCAGAAAATATAATTCTCTGATTGAAACGTAAATGCCCGCCGGTAAAAGGCCGAACCGACAAAGGCAAGAGCTAACCGCACGGTGATCGCTTTTGTGGATAAAATTAAATTCCTCCAAGTTTACAAGTTCCGTCTGTTAACGATTAGGAACAGTTACTGGGCAAAAACGGAAACTCTAATGCAGTTGCCTCCGCCACGGGATTCGCTGCGAAACAAAGTTTTCATCGGGAAAAATTGTGCAGCGACTTTGTTTAAGGCGAGTTGGGTGTCCCAATAAAATTTCCGGGCAACTAACAAGAGGCCCATTAAGCCAGAATCAAATTTCTTGGAATGCGAGGGTTTCAACTTTATAAGAAAATGAAGAACACCATCATTTCAAATTGGGAAGTACACGAGGGTCACTGGACACCAAATACGGAGAATAGAAGACTGGGAGATTGTTTCGATGAAACTGCAGGATCCGAGTGCAAGAGTTGGGGCCAAAATCGGCTCTGAACTGCAGCCACCTACACTACAAATAACTTGACGTGTGTGTCCTCATTTAAGACATAAAACCCATAAGGCAGACATTTAAATTCATTCGAATTCAGCACAGTTAATTGAAGTAGCGACGTGTTATAGGCATGATAACTGGGCTCTTGACCGCAATGCACTAAGGATTTTCTAATCAAAATTAGGTCTAAATTGTTTACGCTGTTTGGAATTTTGATGTGACTCATATGTGTTAGGATTAGGTTTAACATTCAATGTAGAGTTCAAAATAAAAATAGTGAATAGTGAAATAGTAAAAGATCTATGGAAATCAACTGTCTTAATCTGCATATCAATAGGTAAAAAGTTATAGGTGTGAAACTGGAACTATGATTTGCAGGTGACACTGTGTAATGTGTAAAAGGAAGTGAAGAAGCGGTTACTTATATGTCTGGTGTTCCTCGTTTTAACATATTTACCAGACTCGACGAGACAATACGAGAAGAAAAATAGATGGAGAAGCTTGTAATCCAATGGAAGATGATATAGGCGAAAAGACCAAGAGGGCGTTCTCACACGAGCGGCTCAAGACAGAGAAATTTGGAAAAGGTGTATCAGTGACGTCGTAGGGTAAGACTGGTGAGGTTAGAATAAAAATAAATTTCTAGAAATTCCACTACACTAACCTACATTCGTTATAGAAAGACACTATGTTATGGACACTCGACGTTACGTTATAGTGGCAGTAAGCTCGCATCTGGGCAAAGTTTATAGCTCAAAATTGTTGTCAAAACCTAGACTCCAAGATATGACTATGATATATATATTATATATATATATAATTATATATATAATATATATATATAATAACAGTTATATATTTTTGTAAGATATGTCCGTCGAAACCGAATAAAGGCCCTTTATTATTATGATTTCGGACACATCTGATACTCGAAGGGAAGATCGAGTGAAAAGGGGCTTGGGACGCAAGAGACTACCACGACTACCAAATATTAGATACTGGACAGGAATGCATGACTTTTTTGACACACGAAGAACGCCTACGCAGTAGAAGAAAAAGAAGAAGTAACATGGATTTTTATATGTTGCCCTATTCCATTTGAAAAACGAAACCCGCATGGCAAAAAATATCTTACATAGGTAGCTAATATTCGCATAAATAACCAATATTTTAGGGTTTTACCGTCTAATACTACATTCAAGGTGAATAACCCTGTATGCTTGAACATGGAACACCATCTGTCTGATATAAAAGTGCCAATCCAACCTCTCGTATATTATATCCAATTTAACGTCCCTCGTCACCTAGTCACTCACCGAATTTGCCTCGAATACCGACAACTGTCGATTCGGGAGGCCCCCCGCCCACGGGTAATAACTCCTCTTCCTAACCCTGACAACTTTTTTGCGTGGCTGAAAATCGTTCTCTTCCGAATGCAGGGGGTCGGGACTTTTACGCGCCGAGGAGCCGCTCTTGTCGACGTCCGGAGTTTTTGGGAGGTCGGCCGAGCTGATCGACACGAGCAGCGTCGAACACGCCAGCACCAAGAACGATCGCGGCACTCCCATCCTGAAAAAGAAGGGGAATTTGTGTTGAAGACGATTTACACGTATCCAGAGAAATATTCGACTGTCGGAAATTAAGTCAAGTGTGTTACTAAAAGCAGAGCTAAAGACCACACAAAGGCTGAGAAAATTAAGGCGGTTCTCTTAGCCGTTGATAAAACTTTGATTAGACGATTCATGTGTGTACAAGAAGGCGTTAAAACACATAATTTCGACGACTGTTGAGCGTCAAATCACTGCAAGAATGAAGAAGATTGGGGATAAAAAAAACGTTACTAGGCGGTATAGATGCACTAAAAAATCAGTTCGTATTATGCCGCGATGTTTCTAATAAACCCATAGTAAGTGAGTTGAAACGGATTAATGATATAAATAGTTCTTTGGAACAAAAAAAATTAACACAGCTATTTGGTATTCGGTAGGACATTCCTCTAGCTGAGTACGTCAATTGACTAAGAAGCACATACTTTAAGAACAACTTGGATTTCCGTAGAATAATATTTGCTAGCATGCCGGCACTTCTTTAAGTAAGTTTAAGTGCTTATGAAGGATATCATTTGCATGATGTTGGACATTAGTGAAAATTCAGACTCTAGAGAGATTCCAGAAGACAAGCAATTAATTTTCGTCAGAAAATTTAACTACAGCAAACAATAACAAAAAAATCTTTAATATTTCTCTCACAACTAAACAAATAGCGAAGAATGTTAGCAAAATGAAAACAGAAGTAAAAAAGAAATGAGTTGTAAATAGAAATTGTAATAAAAAATTTTTTATGAAACTGGGGGAAAACTACTTAGATGCGGAAAATATCCTGTGTTGAAATGAACATTATAAAACTTCTAGATTCCTCTTGCGTCGGTTTTTGCTGAGTCGAATCTGCTGACGTTTCGCCAATCATCCTGTTGGCTTCAACTGTTTCAGTCAAGCTCTGAAGAAGCCAACAGGATGATTGGCGAAACGTCAGCAAGTTCGACTAAGCAAAAACCGGCGCAGCAGGAATCCAGAAGTTTTGTAAAAAGTATTACAGCAGCCTGCGGAAGTTTCTTTCAAAAATTAAAATGGACATTAATAAAGAAGTTTTTTAGATATAAATATATAAAGATATATATTTTTTTTTATTAAAAAAAAAAAGAAATGAAATATCATTAAAGTTTAGCATAATTCGAGACGTAACAAAAATGATAACTTATCTTAAAGTTATGTTTAACTAGATTTTCAAGACAAAAATAAACTTCTCCCTTTTTAAGGTGCAATGTAGACTGGTGTTGAGGTTCAATCTCCAAAATCGTGTTCAGTCAGAGAACGTGCGTCCTTTTTTAAGGTAACTCCGCCAGAAATTAAGGAAACAAAACGTTCAAGTTCTACAGAGCTTCAGCGTTTGATGGAATTAAAAAAGGGATTCCAAGGAAGTAACTGCAAAGTGTGTTAGAAAAGGCGACCGAAGTTGAATTGAAAAGAGTTTCTGCAATGAGTTCTCTTTTTTGCTGGCCAAGGCAACGAATTATATTGAAACCCCGTACTTCGTTTGGGACACAGAAATCTTCATTTAGCTCTTCCGGAGACGCCAAATCGTCCTCGTTTAAATATTTTGCATTATTATTCAAGACAACACGGAAAATGACAATTGGGACAATTTTTTCTAATACTAACATAGTAAATCTAGCTCTTAATTAATACAGAGTGCAAATGTGACAATTAATGGATTAGTCTTACAGGGAGGGACAATAACCGTTAGACAATATCGTTTATTTGAAGAACTTATACCTATTTTTATCTATAATTAACTTGCGAAGACTGCTTTTCAAAAAGATATTTTTTATGAAATTGTTATATTTCATTTACTTGGTAGTTCATTTATACCAACATAAAACAATCTTCAGAGAAACTCCAGAGCGATATTTCGAACCTGCAACATGCAGGAGTATTATTTAAAAAAAATATTATTCCATGGTGTTCCAGAAACTTATGAAATTTACAAAGAAGTTTTGTGCTGTAGCCAATAATAAAATTATAAAAAAACCCGCAGATAATTTTATCTTAAAATCTTAAAAATCTCGGAAAATCGGATATCTACGTCGTTGGTTGATCCTGCAGTAACTAAGAGGTTAATTAAACCCGAAGCACGAAATGTCAGTGGTCGGGATAATCCAACGAATCCTGTTCAATAAAATTATAATAATATTTTTGGTTGACGGCTAGTCATAATTGAAATACGAAATATCAATATAATTCGCTCGGGTCAGCAAAAAAGAGAATTGATTATAGAAATCCTTTTCGTCTCTTTTTCTAAGATACTTTGCAGTTACTTCTTTGGAATCTCTTTTTTAATTCCATCCTGCTGATTCAAGATGCAAGATTCCGGAGATTGAATCCCGACACAATTTTTTTTTTATAAAAATGTTTAAACACCAAATACCTGTGTTATTTTTGTTTATTTCAAAGAAATATTTATATCTGTGATTTTATCTTAATTATGAATAAAATATGTAACAGCAATGACTTGAGCGTGGGATTACAAATTTAACACTAATTAAAAAACGTCCTTATTAATGTTCATCTTAATTTTAAATTTAATTCATATTAAAAATGGGATATTTTCTGCATCTAAAGTGTCCATAAGTAGTTATTCCACGCTTTCATAAGAATTTTTTTATTACAATTTCTTTTACATCTCATTTCTTCTTTACTTCTGTTCTCATGTTGCTAACTTTCTTTAGTTGCGAGACAAATATTAAAGATTTTTTATTATTGTTTCCTGTAGTCTGAAATGTCTCCTTTTTTGGTTTTTTATTTCGGGAACTTGCGACTTACTGAAAAATTTTTTTTTAAATTTTCTGACGAAAAGTAATTGCTTGTCAGCTTAAGTCACTTGTTCTTCCACACCTTCTATCACAACTAATACCAAAGTATGTCCAGGCCATTTATACGGGATTAAAATTTAGTTTAAAAATTTGTTCAACAAAAGTATTTTCTTATTACAAAAAAAGCAGTGTTAAAAGCAATTTTTATAATATCTCTCCCACTAGCCCTCGTTGTGGTGAACACTATATCCGATTGACTAATATCTGTCCGTGGATGCGAGCCTGTAGGAAATTAGGAATTCTTGGCCCATATATCGGAAGTATTTTATGCTGCTCCTTTGACAGCTTTTTCAGTTGTTCTGATACACACTTTTGAAACAAATAAGGTTCGTATTTATTAATATCGATGACAGTGCCTCGAAGCAGGTTCGAAACGCACGCGAGCGGAATTGGTTAGCATTTATTTCATAATCTAACCTAATCGCGTCTGTCTGTTGATCCCAATAAAGCAAATTAATATTAATTGTGGTTGTTATTGTCTGTAGAACATCGCTAATCGGAATTAGACATCGTTAATCAATAAATACCAATCGGTTTTGAGAGGCTATCTTAATGTGTTTGAGGAACGTGACTTGTAGGAACTGAAAATTGTCAAATAAGGGACGACAACCCAGGGAAAAGTTCATCTCAATATCGTTGTCCTAAGCTAAAATATGGATAAAAGTTGATTTTTTTGCATTTACCAAATAAGAAGCAAATTTATTATTTAGGATGCCAAATGAATTTGTTATTTATATTTTTTACTTTTTTTTGCAATATATATCTTAAGTTATTTTGAATTTATCTCAGCTCTATAAGAGTATTGTAAAACGCGGATTTTAAAAAATAATAGAAGATACCAATCGCGCCGCCTGCTGGATATTTCAGAAACTAGAAAATAATTTCCGAAAATATCTCTAAAATTGTCAATGTTGGAAGGATAAAATTTAGTGCCTGGGGATTGCGAGTAATAGCAATGCTGTCAGATTTTGCTATGATATTTATCATTCTGGTAACCTTTCACTGATGCACTTATAAAATTTCCTATGTTTCCTCTAAGGATTTTAAGATTTTTTCTATTAACAGTGATAAATCGGACAACACTGCTGTTAGCATTTTTGAATTCTGAATGTTATCGTTCCAGCTTTGCCAGTTTTCGAGATGTCTCAGCGTTCCGAAATTTGCCAGCGTTGCTTCTAGTGACTAGGGGAGGATGGCAACTTCATAAAATTTATTAATAAAACTTAGGCCACTGACTTTAATTTAATTTAATTAACTTCGCTGATATAGAACGCTACTTTTTCATCTCTTGAGTTTTTCTCATATCTTGAAAATGAGAACTCTTTTGTTCCATGTCCATTTACCATAAAATAACTTAATATTGATCATAGAAAGAATGTTGAAAGTGACTCGGATAAAGGAATCCAATCTCCTCCAGATGTCAAAAATATCAGGTTCGGTTCTAATTGAGTTGCCCCCCGCAATAATTCGATTTCGTAGCTCCTCTGCAAAGACTTTAGACTGGAAAAAATCCGAGCTTCACCACAATGTATTTCCAGATCTGCATTTATGAGAACTTTTTCCATAAAACGATCTCAGGAATCACCGCGTCTTTTCTAAACGCCCTGTATATTTTTTTGGTATATGATGAAGCTTTAAAAATTAACGTCGGTAGTGGTTAGTAAAGTTTTATTACTTGCCTATCGGTTTGGTGAAAAATAAATTCTTTTCAGAGCGGTTCAAACAAAATTACATCGGCCGGGTATTTCAAATAGCTACCCTCCACCGTCCAGGGTTAATTACCCGCCGAACTTCTTGGTGTTTACCGAGCTTTATGGTCCCGCGTGTTTGCGCGGGAAATTAGGAAAGTTGCGGATAATAATTTTCCCGCGTTTGAGCGCCGCTTTCGATATAATTCGTAAGAAACGGACACCCCAAGGGGTTCGGCCTCGAGCCTTAGAGGTTGGCTTATTTATTGCCCTTTATAATTACGGGTAAATTACCCATAAATTGACTCTTGAATGCTTGGCCTTTTGTTATTCGATCACAGGAATATTGGCCGCTTTCAGTTCATACCCATAGCTCCAAGGGAAAACATTACCAATGGAGAGGAATGTTTACAGTACAATAAAGTGCATCCCTATAGGGTACTTTTTTCTTG